AGCACCGTTGCAAAGGTTTGGAATAAGGGAATTATAGCATAAGTTCAATGGAACCAATTCCTTCGGTGTGGGTGCGTGCGCACCTGCGGCCGGGCGGTTATAGGCAACCCGACGAGGACCGCCGCCGCGTCCTATCTCTCGTCCTGTTGTCGGCTTATCGCGATCCCTTTCACGCCGGCCGCTGCGCGTCACTGATTCCTATTTCTGTGGAGAGATTGCTTATCGGCTGAGCGAGTACTCGTCATCGTCACCACCTCTCGGCGGCACATACCTCAGTCAGCCGGCGAGTGGCGAGAACGCGCCCACAGCCATCTGCCAGACGCTCCACACACATCCACATCACCATCATGCCCACCACCATGCAGATCAGCTACGACAGGCCGGAGGCCACGTACTACCCGGGGGAGACGGTCACTGGGCGGGTGGACTTGCACGTGGACAAGCCGCAGAGGGTCAGAGGTGAGTTCTGTTAGAGACATGTCTGATGGCTGCAGCCAAAAGTGCTACGCATCATTGTGAAGCCCATGGCATGGCCGTGCCGTGCCGTGTGAGCTGCGACTTGGAGGACAGTTGAGTTGACTGGCCGCGCCTTGTGCCGTGTCTCGCAGCTGTGAGCATTGTCTTCAAGGGGGAGGCCAACGTGCGGTGGTCAGAGCGCCACAGCACCGGCACTGGCAAGAACCGGACAACGTCAAGACGAACCTACTCTGCGCACGATACGTACTTCAGCAACAAGATCTACTTCGTGGGGGGCGACTCGGGCGAGATCACGCTCAGTCCCGGGGACTACGTGTACGCCTTCCAGTGCCTCCTGCCGCACTCGCTGCCCAACTCCTTCGAGGGCGAGCACGGCCACATCCGCTACACAGCCAGGGCGATCATGCACCGGCCGTGGAAGTTTGACCATGCTGCTCGAGCGGCGTTCACACTGGTCGCGCCGCTGGACCTCAACATGATCCCCCAGGCCAAGGTAGGCTTTAGCAGCGTGACCCTTCCAGCCCTTCCAACGGCAAGACTCTCGCCCAACCCTGCCTGTCTCAAATACAGATTGTGTAGATAATCAAGTATATAAAGCTGATCAAGTGACATGCTCCATTTAGGTACCCATTGACATGGAATCGAGCAAACACTTCTGCTGTCTTTGGTGCAAGTCCGGCCCTCTAACCATGATCGTCAGGGTGCCGAATGGTGGCTACGTCCCAGGGCAAACCATCCCTGTAGAGATTCAGGTTGACAACGCGAGCACCACTGAAGTGCAAAACATTCGGGGCACCCTAAGCCAGGTATCTAATTCTAATATCTAAATCTAATCCTATATTAAAACTGCATCAAAATATCTGGGAGCTAACGAGACGTATATGTGAGTAACACTAACACCACAATGCTATAACTGTGCACAGAACCTTAAATGGCACGCCACATCCAAGACGAAGACGACAAGAAGGAGAATGGTGGACCTGGTGTTCGACAGCCCGGTAAAAGGCCACGATTCGAAGATCTTTTTACAGACGATCCTCGTTCCACCTGTGCCACCGTCCTACCTACAGAACTGCAGGATCATCGACTTGGAGTACTATCTGACGGTAAGACCGCCTTACTAGCTATCTGACTCACGGCATGATAAGGAAGTCAGATGATCCGCGCCTAGCTGACCAACTCTTACCTCCGGCTTACAGGGGATTCATCAAGTTAAAGTTGAGGGTTTGAAATACGTCACATTGATTTAGCAGCAGGGCGGGCTGTCACTGTACCGTCTGTATACTCCGCTAATCTTAGTCAGTTTAAACTGCGGAACTAAAAGTTTGCAAGTTGTAACTGCAGAACTCTTAAGTTCTACACCAACAACTGGCAAACTGTTATGCATTACTACGTACTACGATCAGTAGTATGATGAGTTCTCCGATCACGTGGTCACCTGCCAATGGTACTCTAGAGTACCAACAGCTGTGTAAAACAGCTGTGTAAAAGAGAGCAGTCCGCCACAGAAGACGGACTATTCAGTCCACTGAAATAGAGCCTAATCAATTTCAATAATTTCGACGTATTTTCCTCTGTGTAGGTGACGGCCAGATTCGGCAGCGCGCACCTCGACTTGGAGATCAGGGCGCCCATTGTGATCGGCACTTTCCCGTTGGTTGGGCCGAGCTATCCGGTGCCCGGGCCGGGACCGAGCGCAGCTGGTCCAAGCAAGTCGGCTGACCCCAGTGACCCCCCTGCCTACCCAGGAGGGCCGATGCCGAGCGCACCACCGGGCATTCCCTCCCCTGACCTCCGTGAGTTTCGCAATTCGCCAAATTGAGAAAGGTTGGAATATGTTCACAAAAATAATTACAGTTGTTAATTGTTTTCATTTACAGCGCCCCCAAGTTACGAGGAGTGCGTTTTCCAAGGAAACAATATTATGGACGCGGATGACGGTGACAACCAGTACACCATGGGCGCCCAGAACTTCACACCGCGTTACCCGGTGTGGAATCTAAGCACACCTGCGTACCAGAATCAGACGCATGAGAAATACTAGGACCGGTGGCAATGTGCCAAAAATGTGTGAGTGGCTACGCCTCAAGGTTGGATGCGGATGGAATAGGGGATCATGCAGAAGTACGTCCACCATTTGCAGTTTCGAAGCTCTCATAGCGCCTGGTAGGTAGGCAACATCTTGCCTGCAGTGCATGCGTGTACTGCGGAATGGCCTACCCTGAGTCTCGCAGGCGCCGAGCTTCCGTCATTTGCCGAATAAATCTGAGAAAAACGGACGTACTTTCTGGACGATCACTTGGCAAACCAGCAACACTGAGGTGTATTTGGTGTACACATGGTACTCAGGTACTTGTGTAGAAATAACTTGATAGCACATAGCGGTAAAATTTATTTCCTGTGCTACACTTTGGTGATACGACCTGTGATAATTTTCTACCAATAAAATTGGATTAAATGCGAACGGGATGCTATTCGGTAGGAGTAGAGCTGACCTCATAGTTACCCCCCC